TGTGGGACCTGGCCACACACCCCCAGCTCAGCTCTGTATAAGGGAAGGGAGGGCTACTCTAGCACCCCCCTAGCTTCTCACCTGAGCCACTGCAGGCATATGCCTGCACTTCCTCAGTCTAGATAGAATGTCTGTCCAGTTACAAACTGGTTCAACCTAGCCAGGTTAGACTAACCTGTACAGATGGAATCAATTCAGGCTCAGGCTTTTTTAATGTTTGTCTCTAGCCTAAATGAAAGCTATAATAAAGAATACCTTAAGATAAGATCAGCTTTAACCAACTTCCTACAACCTTGCATGTATATGATAAACACTCTGCTTAACCAAATAATAGGATTAAACCACGTGCCCGCAGCTTCACCCTCTGACTCCGTGGCTGCTTCCCCCCTTCATTTTCCTGCCGTCCGCTTTTAAATCTGCTGGGCAGTGGTTTTTGGTGATGTCATCTGCCAGCGCCGTTCCCAGCTGGCAATAAAAGCAGCTGATGAATCATGCCAGCAGCCCTTATCAGTGCAGCTCCACTTTTCCTGTGGGTGGTAAGTATGCCCTCTTTTTAGGGCTTCCTATTTCTTTCCCTGGGTTGGTCAACCCAGCCTCAGGTCCCGCCACAGGAGGCTGCTCCGGTACCTGTGCTTTTGTCCAATTGGGACAGACCAGTCAAAGGCACTTTGCACAAAAGTCAGATCTGCCTGGAACTGCAGGACATATTCAAAGTCGAAGCTATTTTGAGTTGCTGAATATTAGAAGTGGCTCCAGGCCACTGAGTGCCAAATTAAAACTCTTCCTTTCATCTCAAATGCCCTTTTAGTCTTTGAGTTCAGGCTTCCATTCTTGCTGAATAGATCAAAAAGAACCCTACAAAGTGGCTATAAAATAATGTGGCATTGGTTATTTACAGTGAAATGCATTAAGAAGAATGGGGTAAGAAGAAAAAAGTTATTTTAGTATAGCAGCCAATTGTAAAACACATAAAACTCTCAGTTTATTGCTCATGCTCTTAATGGGAAGCAAGATAAATTGTGCCTGAACCAGGATCTGCAGAAGGGGGGAAAAACAGCACAGACTAGAAAATTCAAGGAACTACAAAGCTATCAACTATCTGAAGGGACATATTTATAGGTAAGTTTCCAAACATTAAGTAACATCTGACCTCTTCGGAGAAGCGATAATGAAAATCTGCCTTGAAATGAATCCAAATTTTAAAAAGAGGGGGTGAAAGAACAACTAAAAAGAAACTTGGCAACTCCCAATCCTGCAAGCACCTATGAACATGCTGTTCAATTCAGTGGAACCAGTTGCATGTTACGTTCAGGGGACTAACACTCTTGCCACCTAATCCACTATTTGAGTATCCAGGCTGCAGCTCTCACTTGTGTAGTCTACATTGATTAATAAGGGAGTTCTTCTTAATGGCTTGGACAAGCACTTGGCTGGGGTCACATGACTCCAGCACTTTTTCCTGCCATGGGCAGGGGGTCATACTCGACCCTCCTTTGAGGTCCCTTCTGACCCTAGCATCTATGAATCTATGTAAGGAGATCTGTAGAGCAATGAAGGGAATTTCTGTGCAGTTACACATAGTGGCACCTTCATGGGGCATGTTTTCAGTCATAAGCGCTGTGTGCCCCCGGGGGGGGGGGGCACAGCGAGCTCCCACAGGTGGCAGCAGTGCTGTCAGTGGCGGGTGTGGCGGCAGCAAGCAGGGAGCTCCTGCAGGTGGCCACAGCACTGTTGGTGGTGGGAGGGCTGCAGGGGGTGGTGAGCACCAACTAGTGTTGGCAGTGGCCAGTGGCAGTCGCGGACCAGCTGCAGATGCCATTGGCGGTTGGGGGCGGGGGGTGAGTGGCAACTGCCCACAGGCGCCGTTGGCAGTGTCAGTGGCACCTTTATGCAGGGGGTGCACCACCATGCTCAGGGGGTGCATGTGCACCCCCTACGTGTCACCTACATTTGGCAATGCGTCTTCATTCTTGATAAGCATGACCAGGTGTGCAGGGCACCTGGGTGTCAACTATCTGGAGTCTTGAGATATCAACAGCACAGCATAATTAACACTTCTTTGGCAAGAGAAAGCACATTTCCTCAGTGGGTGAGAAAGTGGTGCCTTGCAGAAATGATGGCTGGATAATTTTTTTTAAGTGCCTTCATTAGCCAGCCTTACATTTTGGTGTTGGAGTGACTGAAAAACACTTTCCTTTTATTGAATAAGGGAGCTAAAAATCTCACTCAAGCCAAGATTTTCAATCTTTTAGAGTCCTGTCAGATTAATTTGATTCTGATTGATTGAACTGTCTGGATATTTGATCTTTATCTCTATTTTAACTTATTCTACCCATCTTTTTCATATTACATTTGTGGGAATATTTTTGAGAGTGAGAAGAGAAATGTGTTTAAGTAACTAAATTATTTGTGCAAATAAATATGACAACTATAATGTCATTTGACCCTTACAGATTCCTAGATTGTATGAGCATGGCACATGTAAGTGGGGAGAGAGTGTTCTTCCCCTGTGATCAATGGGATGTACAGAAGCATAGCAGTCTCTTGAACTGCCACAGTTCTTTGGTACTTTTCTATGAATTAGGACTAATTATGTTTGTAGTATGAAATGTGTTAGATCCCATGTTTTTTTACATCCCAAATTCAATAGGCAACTGAGGACACAAAAAAGGTGCAGGACATAATACCATTCTTGAGACTGACTTAAACTTTTCCAGCTTACTAAGATCAGAAAAAAACAGAGAACATTTTTCTGGTAGAACATTTTTCTACCATTAATTGGTGATATTAATAAAAAATGTAAAGTAAATGCAGAGAACTTTAATACATTTCTATCTGATATTACTGGCTTTATCTCCATTGAGGAGCTAAAGAATGATCCCTACTCCAGTAAGGTCCACTCTGGCTATATATTATTTACAGTGCCTGGATGGCAAATTACTTTATGTCTTTGAAGTATAGCCTTCAACCACTTAGTGTGCTGTGTCCCATTACAGTGTTGGCAACTCCTAGGGCCATGGTTTGTTTTGTTCTGCTTGGGTTCTTGATTTTGAGCACCTTCTAATAGTGCATTCATAATATCTATCATGTGTGGTTCATTCTCTTTCTCATCTTCTCTCCAGGGGGAAGATTGCATGTGCAGTTCAGTGGTTTGTTTTGGTAGATTGTTTTTTGTTTGTTTTGAAATGTATGTACATGGTGACGGAAAGAAAGACTTTTAACTTTAACTCTGACTTAGGCTGGAATGTGGTAAAGTTTGTGAGGGCCCCTCCTTTCCTTAGAGGTTTGTTCCACAATTTTGATCTGACTTCTGACCAGATGAGCTATACCTTTGTGGTACAGAGCTCCATTAGACTTGGGGTCCCTATATATATGCTGGTTTGTGTTCTAATTGGAACACATCAAAGCAGACTCAATCGAGTCAGCTCCACATTTAACTAAAACACCCCAGCGTCACTTCATGGTCATGTATAAACCCCTGTGGTTTAAAAATGTCTGCTGGAGTACAGCCATTATTTTGTTGAATGAGATTTAGATAAAGCATCTCACAGCTATTTTTAAACCTGCAGGGGCTTAATGCATGTGACAAAGAGGCGTTTTAGTTAGAGTGGCTCTCTGGAAACCTCTCTAATTAAAACACCCACCCCCAAACACATGTGAAGGTAGCCAAGGAGTGTAGTTATTAATCAAGGTTTTCAACTGGGTAATATGCTGGACCCATGTAATTTTGTGTGTAAAGCCAAGAACAAAATGCTGACTCTGAACCTGCTTACCATTAGTGTTGTTTACTAGTTGGAGTTTTCTTAGGGCTGAGAGTTTCTTATTTAGGTACATAGATATGAAGTCCAGATACTAGATGACAAAGGTATATATATCTGAGGGCAGGCTACTGCCTGCCAATATGAGAGAGAGTCTCTAAACCACCCTGAGATGGTAGGAATCATTATATGTGGAAGCTGCTACGTGAGTTTTTAGTACTGTGAGCACCTATAAATAACAGACAGGCATGACCAGTAGCTGCCGCATGCCTTCAGAAAGTACAGTGGCTGCAAACTCTTCAAAGTGTTTTCATCTTTCCACTAGCATCACATTGGTCAGGTTCTGCCTCAGCCAGCTGTTCTTCATCCATGAACTACTCTCATCCTAGCCCTAGGCAATCTTGGTGATCTTTGTTATAAAAGAGAAGAAAGGAATGCAACTAAGGTGGAACAAAAAATTGGAGATCCTCACACCATCACATTTACTTACTTTTCTCAGTTTTAGACAATAAAATTGATTTTAGAAAAAAAAAATCTTGATCTTATGTGAAAATTGTATGACACCTAGCAATTTTGTAGCTTCCTGAGGTTTTTTTAGGCATGACTGCATTGCGGATAATAATAATCACAAAATGTAAGGCAACAGTGAATCTGAAATGAGTGCACCTTGGAACAGGAGAAATGATTCATTTCTAATAGTTATTATGTTGTAGTTGACCTATTTGCCACCCTTTGTAGATGAAGAAACTGGCAGAAAAAGGCTTTCAGCCTTGAAAAACAGTTATCAGTCACTCTGTACTCGTAAGAGACCAAGTCCTCAAATGGTGTAATTTCATTTAATTTATTTTGGTAATTTGATTAACTTTTTTACTGTCAAATCTGGGCTGACAATAAAACATTTTAATGAATACCACTTCTTAGATAAATAACATGATAATTATATGACCAGTAATAACCTGTTCAGTAGTATTCATATTGGATTTCACTATATAAAGAAAATTTGAGACTACCTGTTCTGTCTTTATCAAAAATAAAGAGATAGTAGACCTTAAGTGGCATATTGACCTTTGCAGAGTCATGAGTATGCCTAGCTTCCAGTAACATTGTTATTTGCAAGTATTCAGGTGGATGAAGAAGACACCCCTCCCCAGTAACTCTGGGCAGGACTTGTTCTTGAAAAACATTTTGAACACAAAATAGCATATCGTGATAGACAATTTCCTTTTTTTTTCTCCCTCATAGATCACTCCAGGTAGCAAGGCAGCCCAGTCACACATGAATCAGGGGGACCTTGTGGTGGCCATTGATGGAGTCAACACAGAAGGCATGACCCACCTGGAAGCCCAGAACAAGATCAAATCAGCCAGCTAC